TTTCTTTCTAGTTGAGATTTTATATAACGCTGCATGTGTGCAAAGTGTTGTGTGATCAATTTAGTCCGGCAAGCATTTTCATTGTCCTTTGGGATTTATGTTTAATCAGTGAAATCTCCAGATCTAACAGGATATAAGGAGAGAAGGTGAGTCCTGGCCTGGGGCCAGAGGGAGGGGAAGAGGGAAGAGGGAAGAGGGGTGGGAATGCCTTCTCAATTCCCTTTAGTGAAACTGACCTGCTACAAGGCAAAATTTTCTCTAAGACTACAAAAAATGAACAAGCAGTATTTGGGCATGTGACTTTGAGTTTCTCATTTACCCCTCAGCTATGTTTAAAGTTCAGAAAACCATACTTTGCTGCTTTAAAATACTTCTAATGAGCATCCTTCATCATTGCCAAGCAGAGCAAATAAAGATCAGATGCATCAAAGGATTGGCTGTCAAGGCCTGGGCATACCTGGTCAAACAACCAAGAAAACTAGCTCCAAATTTCCAGGAGGGAATTCAACCCCAGAAGGTAACAAATGCAAGCGGCCGTTGCACTGAGCTACAGACCTTGTCAATATCTTGATTGTTGATATCCTAGATTTTAAAGGTACTGTCCCTAGGGAATAACTAAACAGAATGCACAGTAGCGCCCAGTGTCTCACTGCGTCCGAGTGAAATGTTGTATTTCGCAACTCAGCCAGCTTGACATCGCAGGCCATATCATCTTTTCTCTGGCTCATTTTGCCTTCTTGTTCGTAGCTGATTATTCACTGGAGCACGTGCCCCACGCTCATGTGTTATTCTTAGAATCTTGCCTTCCAAGCTTCTCCTCTGGCTGCCCTGTAAGCACTTTATCCGGGACTTTGCTTTCCTGTTCCCTGGGCTTCTCTTCTTTGTGTTGCTTGATCCTTACTGCGACCTGCTCATTCCAATTTAAGTACAGCGTTATCAAGCCTTCAGAGTGGGCCTGTCAAAGATTACAAATCGACTGGGTGCCTCCACTGGCTCTTTCCTTAACAGCTAAAGAGCTTACGAGTCAGGAACCCAAACTTTAGGTCACCACCACCACAGGGCTGTTCGCCTGCGGCAGGTGTTCTCAAACTGTAGCCTGCACCAAATCACCTGAAGAGCATGTTGAAACTAATGACTGCAGGCATGCCTCCTAGGGTTTCTGCTTTGGTAGGTCGGAGCTGGGCTCAGAAAATTCGCATATGTTACAAATCAGTGCTGCTGGTCTATGGGCTACACTTTGAGAATTAAAGTGCAATGATAATGGTATTAATATCAGAACCACGTCTCATAGTTATTGGCCACATACTATAAGACACTTTTCCCAGGGCTTTACTCATTTTGTCCTTATAGCAGCTTTTGTTTTTCCTATTTTCAAATGGGGAAACTGGGTCCCAGAAGTTAATTATCTTTCCCCAAGTCACTCTGTGAGAAAGTGCTGGTGCTGGACTCTGAACCCTGGTAGTTCCAGAGCCCATGGGTTTAAGTTAGCCTCTGTAATATCAGGTAACATATCTAATGGCTTGAAATGAGTATATTGGCATACATTTGGCATTTACTTACATATGAGCCTATAAAAACTCAGATGCAACAACAAGGTCCTACTGTATAGCACAGGGAACTGTATTCAGTACCTTGTAATAGCTTATAATGAAAAGGAATACATATATGTGTAATTGAATCACTAAGCTGCACACCAGAAATTCATACAACATTGTGAATTGACTATACTTCAATAAACAAAAAGAAACCCTGAGAGATGCTTAAGAAAAACAATCAATGTTGTGAATCTTGAACAAATTGTTGCATTTCTCCCCGATTCTATTCATTTTTACTTACTGTCCCTATCGTGGACCAGTATGCTGAAGAATGAAGAATATCAAGCATTTTTAACAGAAAGATGTAAAGGCGATTTACCTCTCAAAATGAAGAGTATTCTTGCATGTTATTTCTCGTCTGTCTCCCTTCCTTTCGAATCCTCAGTCAGTCCGCGGCCAGTGTAGGATTTTTTTCATGCACTTCGATCACCTGTGAAGATGTGGCTTATTACTTTCCTTCTCCCCAAAGAAGAGCCCTTTGTCCCTCTCTCTCTGCTTCACTGACGCTTTAGTCTGGGCTTTTCCAATGTTGAAACTGAAAACCATTATTGATTTGAGAGCTTGCTGCTTGAATGACTGTAAATTGTGACAAATTCTCCCCTCTTGGGTCTCCATACATGTGACCATGGTAAGTTAGAGCCAAAGAAAGATCTTGAACCAATACTGCTGTATTCCATCAAGTCTAAGATGCCACTAATTGTAGGAAGAGCCAATATATTATGTATCACTAGGAAGAAAAAAGAATGCTGCCAATTAAACTATGACACAGGGTCTCAGCTGAAGTCCTTACACAATAATTGGTCACATTAATCTCTCATGTCTGATAATTGTTTCATCTGTTCTGAAGGATTTGGCAAGCTCTCCAGATTCACTCAGGTGCATGTTCTTGGCACGTAATGGCAGTGCTGCTCAAACTTGACTGGGCACGTGAATCACCTGGGAGTCTTGTTAAACCGTAGATTCTGATTCAGAAGGTCTGGGATCAGGCTAAAATTCTACAGTTCTAATAAGCTCCCAGGAGCTGCTGCTGGTTGCACACCACTCGCTGAGTAGCAAGGTGACAGGCAATCTTTTGCATGTATATTTCCTTAACAAAATGCAGCTCCTCGTCATCTACTCCTGACTTCTTGTCTTAGGTCTCATAAAGTACTTGCTTGCCGCTTTGCAAAAAAAGCATAGAGTTGCAGTAATTCCTTCAACATATATTTGCTTTACAAATATCAGACTTAACTACCACAGCTTTGCTACTAAGGCTTTCTTTGTAAATGGCGTCTTTTTGTTTCAATATTGAATCAGAGTGTAAACATTTTTGAAGATATTTTAAAGGGCAATAGAGCTGAACACATCCAACAGGACCATGCACACAACTCAACAAAAGAGAATATGGACAGCCACAACCAAGTACATGAAGGTACAGGTGATGACAACCATGTCATAGATGCCTCCTGGATGACGGTGAACACAGGATGCCATCCGGTTGTAGGATTCATTTAGATTTCTCTTTAATATTAAAATATGAATAAAGAAGAATATATGAAAAGTATAATTATAGTGTATTAAAAGAACAAGAACAATAGGAGGACAAGTAAAGGCGCTGGAAATGAAACTACATAAAGTGCTTTTCACATCTTGGTTTTTATTCATTTTATGTACTGGTTTTTATTTATTATTTACTATAGATAAAGCCTATGCCCTGAGGAAACAGCAGTGAACAAGCCACAGTTCCTGCCCTCATGCAGCTTACAGTTCAGCAGGGAGACTGACATTAAAGAAACACAGTCAATTCTCATTATTTGTGGATTCTGTATTTGCAGGGAGGAACCGAAATGAGTAATTTTTTCCAGTTCTATTAAGGGCTTGTGTTCTGATTTCCAACCACCAGGTGGAGACAACACAAAGCTAATGAAGGCATTCCCTCTGTCGGCTTTAGACCGAATTTGAGCGATTCCTTAAGCTAACTCAGGGGCGAGGATTTTTTTTTTTCCCCTCTTGTGAGTGAGCCACTGACCTCCTAAGGAATAAAACTACAGATCAGAGGCCACATGCAAATTTAAAAGAAACACGATTTTTCCAAGAGAACCTAGTACATTCAAACCAATGACTTTTACAATTACAGTTGGGAAACCTGTATGTTTTAAATGAGTTTAACAAAAATAAATACAGTTTTGTGCTACCTGATGGCCAGTGAGAGGGTGAGTGAGATGAGATAGAGAAAAACAGCAGCAAAAAAAAAGCAAAAAAAGAGGAAGAAAGGAAAGCAGACACAGACAGGCCTACACAGAATGAAACAGCCGCGGTTGAAGGTTGGGCTGGAGTGTGAGCTAGAAGCACGGAGAGGGAGCCAATTCTGATTGTCTCGGGGCCAGCACCGTTTTGATCCTTCTTCTCCTCCCTGTGCACCAAGGGTATCCAGGTCAGCAACCCCACAGAGCTCTTTCAAAGGCTGATTAGCCTCCAAGCATCCCCCTTTCTGAACTAGGAACTGGGTCTGCTTTTATTTGCAAACTTCAAAGTTTAATTTTAAAATGAAGATTTCTTTTTCCATCCAACTTGAAAGATTTTCCCATCCCAAGTAAGGAAATCACTTGCGTTTTTAAGTTCCCTCTTTGTAATTTTAGAAGTGCTGTCTTTGGGGTCGGGGTATTTAACTTGCAGAAGCAGTCAGGTAGGCTTATGTCTTTTTTTTTTTTTTAAGTTAGAGCTTTCTCATTTCATATTATTTGGAAGTTATAATCATTCTAGTGGCCATATAATTGTTCTGAAACTTGCTGCCAGTCAAACCTATTGTCTACGTGTGTGTGTGTGTGTGTGTGTGTGTGTTTGTGAGAGAGAGAGAGTGTGAGTGAGCCAAAGAGGGTCACACGCATGCTGTCTAATCAGAACCTTGTGAAGATGTTCTATGATGGGAACAGAGACAAAACTTCCCTCTGGGGAACAGCAGACCCTATTTCCTGCCTCTTGAGGGATCCAAAATTTCAGTCACTATCGCTCACCACAAAGAGGGGGAAATGGTCCTGTGTCTGCAGCTTACTTCTCCTTATTTACCAGGAACTGGACACAATAAAATTAGGGGCAGAACTTCTCCATGAGGTCTCGTTGTGCAGACCGTCTGGCAGGGTTGTCACTGTAATCAGAAAGTAATGGGGGTGTTGGAACCGGTTTCACTGTTCGAGAAAAGCCCATCTCGTAGGTACCGTGAATCACCACCATTCTGAGGCTTCTGTGAAATTATATCATAGGAATATCGGTAGACTTTTGACAAAAATGTAACAGTATTCATATTTTTTTCTGTATCACTTGGGGATTTAAAAAATGGAGCAAAAAATTTAATTTTGTAATTTAATAAGTATCTACTTACTTTAAGAGCTTTTAAACAAAACCAAAATTGCCTCACCGTAGGTCAGCTGTGTGACCTGGGGCTTCTCCTTCAACGTCTCTGGTGTCTGTCTCAAACGTGGAGCATGTGCAAAGATGATCCACGAGGGAGCTGGAAGAAATATTAGAACCTTTATTTACATTTTTTCCACCTGGAATGTAAGAAACGATATGAAGCTTTACTAATATTTGATATATGGATCAACAGCATACAAGTATATAATTTATAATTGTACAAAATTTGGGAGTGCATGCTCAAAAATGTTTCACTCTTAATGGCATATGCTTAAAAAAAGTGTGGAGATTACAGATAAACACTTTTCCAAGATTAGGCGACATTCAGAGTTTTTTCAAATTGCTGGTTACAACCTGTTGTTGGGTTGTGCAACCCATTTAGGGAATTTTAAAGAAGTGAAATAAAGTATAAAATATCAGAGTGCATTGCTCTTAGTAAGAATTAAGTATTGTTCTGTGAAACTTTTCAGATGAATACATGCGTGAATCCTGCATTTTGATGTAAAATGTATCTCCTATTGTGACTTGTGCTTAAAAGAAAGTTGAAAGCAACTGGACTAGAGCAGTGGTTCTCAAAGTGTCATCCTCAGACCAGCAGTGGCATCATATGAGAACTTGTTAGAAAGGCAAATTCTTCAATCCCACCCCAAATTTACTGCCTCAGAAAGTGGGTGTGAGCCCCACAATTGTAGTTTAGCAAATGCTCCAGGTGATTCTGATGAATGCTAGAGTTTAGAGCCACTGGCCTATAATGTCTCTAGGATGCAACTGGTTATAAAACTTTACGACTCTGTTAGATACTCACTTAACTAAGGCATGTTTTTCAAATTTACCTGATCCAAAGATTCACCAGGTGACTTTAAAAGTACCTCAGAGGTTCTAAGTGAGCAGGTCTGGGTAGAGCTTTGGAACCGAATTTTTAACCAACATCTCTGCTGATTCTTGTGATCAGACAAGTTTGGAGATACTTTATCAAGAGATAAGGAGTCTGTAGAATGGAACTGGGGAACAGAACTATTTTACAGAGCAGAAACAGTGTGACAGAGAGACCGAGTCTAAGGCAGGGAAATAAGCAAATCAGAACACAGAAAGCTCATCCTGAGTCAGCTGAGGCTGCGATTCTCCTCTGAGTGGCTGGCTCCGCGGCCCTGCACAGCCCTTCAGTTTCAGCGCACAGCAGCCGCTCAGGAAATGCTAACTGAATGCACCTCGCGTGTCTCGACACTTAGACGCGGGGCAGGGCTCAGGAGGTGGTGGAGGGCAGCTCCTGGATTCAGGGAGTTTGGAGGAGGTGCTTTCCAATCCCTTCATGACTAAACCAGGCAAATTTCAAATACATTGATGGGGTGGAGACTCCGCTGTTGAAAGTAACGATCAAAATTGACTGAAGTTTTTGCTGCTGCTAAAACTACATTCCCAGTTGATTGTTATTAAAAATAAAATTCCCCAGGTCATCATTGCTAACAATTTGGAGGATATTTGCTGACTTTTTGGTATACATATAAGAAGTCTTTAAACAACAAAATTATTACTGATGTTATTTTGTAATTTTTCAGTAGACAATAGACCATGGATATTTTTCTGTCATTGCATAGCTAACCAATTCTTATGAACACCAGCAGATTTTAAATGTTTAATCTTTACAAAGCTTATGTGATCTCAGAACACTTTTAAAATTAGAACATATTTTGACTGAAAGCCACAAGTACTCAACGCAGACCATGTGTGCTTGGATTAAAAGAGACAGCAAAACCATGTCTCCTGAACAGCCGAATACTGTAAGAAATGATGTAAATTTAATTTATTGCATTTTAAAATCTTTATAACAGGAAGAATAATAAGAGTAGGAAATTAAATCGTCAGATTTTACAAAGAGCAAAGAAAGCATAATGAGATTAAGTAAAATGTTTCCATTTTATATTTTGTTATAAAATGTGACATAAAAACAAATTCTTAAAAACAGCATTTTAGGGTTGTTTTATCACATAGCTTCATAGCTGCAATACTGTTAGGGGGGTAAAATTTTATATGGGATAAAATATCAGATCTGTTGCTATCTGTTGCCTCATAGCATAATATTTTTTAAAAATCCCATTTTTTGTATGAGAACACTGTAACAAAAGAAAGCAGTACACAAACCATCCAAATGTTTTATGGTCTCCATATATCCTTGATTTAGATGCTCTAAAAATCCTTAATTATATCCTGTTTGGTAGCTCTCTGCTGATTTTTCTAGAACCTGATGAGTACAATCATTCATTTTTATGTTGACTCGTTCAGCCATTCTGCTCTTTTAATTTGCACAAAGCTTTTGAACTCCAAGACTGTTTGTCATTGGAGACATTTTTCTCTTGGCCTTCAGTCCATGAGGAGCAAGTTTGTATATTACGTGTTTAATAATACCAGAAACATCAAATAATAACCTCAAATGTGTGTGGCGATTATGAGCTAAGACACTTGGCATGGAACAGAGCAGTCGTCATCCAAAAGCGGATACATAGTGAGGCAGACAGAGGAGTGAGCTTCCCAGGCACGGACTTACTCATGAGGTAGTTCTCCCCTGCGGTTTCGCAGCATTCTAGGGCAGGGAGCAACCTTAGTACTGGCTGCAGCTTTATGGTTTAGGACACGATTGTTATGTTTAGCAAGGGAATAAATAAATGCTAATAAGATGCTATAGATTTAGGGAGAGGGTTTGGCTCAGTGACAGAGTGTGTGCCTAGCATGTACAAGATCCTTGGTTCAATCGCCAACACCTCCATTAAAATGAATGAATAAACAAACGAACAAACAAACCTAATTACCATCCCTCCTACCAAAAAAAAAAGATGCTATAGATTTAACTGTTGGATCAATTAATTTTTCTAATACCAGAATCAAACTCTTTTTTTAACCTTTTTTCTTTTTTAAACATAGCTATATTGAGGTAAAACTGACAGACAGTAAGATACACTTATTTAAAGTGTATAATTTGGTAAGCATTGACATGTCTCCACAACTGTACATACAGATGATGAACATTTCCATCATATCTAAAAGTTAACCTGGACCTCTTTGTAATCCATCTCTCCTATGCCTCTTACAGCCTGTCCATACACTACTACTAATTTACTTTCTAACACTATAGATTAGTTTACCCATTGTAATACTTGATATAATGGGAACATTTAGTATGTATTCTTGTCTCATCTGACTTATTTAGCTGGGAATTGTTATTTGAGATGCATCCCTGCTACAGCAATGTCAACAGTTCATTCCTTTTTATCGTTGAGTAATATTCCATTGCATAGACACGCGATGGTTTGTTTAGCTATTTACCTACTGATGGACATTTGGTTTGTTTTCACAGTGCAGAGTACTAACCACTATACGATCACGGCATGCCACACTCGCTGCGACAGTTTGTTTTCAATTTTTCACAATTAAAGTAAAGCTGCTACACAACATTTGTGTACAAGTATTTGTACCATCAAATGACTTCATTTCTCTTGCTTCACACATGGTAGTAGAATGGCTGGGCCACATGATAGGTGTTTTCCAAAACTGTTCTACTATTTCATATTCTCATCAACAGTGTATGAGAGTTCCAGTTCCTTGTGAAGTTAGATGCAAAAATTCTAAATAAAATGTTACTGGATCAAAGCCAACAATAGACAAAAAAGACAATACATCATGTCCAAAGTGAGTTCATCCCAAGAAATGCAAGTTTGGCTTAGCAATGGAAATCAATCAACATAATTCACCTAGTCTATTTACTTATTCAACAAGTATTTACTGAATACCTACCATGTGCCTGAAACTAGAGCAGGATTTGGAGATACAGCAGTTAAAAATTATAAAAATATATGCTTTTGCAGAGGCCAAGACATAATGGAATCAGACATATATTAACCAGTGAAATAGTATGTCAAATGATAAATGCTACAGATATATATATGGCAAGGGTGGAAGGTGGAGAAACTGGTTGATCATTTAGACAGAGTGGTCAGGTAAGTCTCCATAGGGAAGATGATATTTGAGCAAAGACTTGAAAGAGATATAGAAGCAGTTCATGTGCTACCTGGAGAAAGCGTGTTCTAGGTAGAAGGAAAAGCTAGTATAAAATCTCTCAGGCAGCAGTGTGCCTCTCTTCAGTTTTGTTGGCGTAAATTGAGCCAGGAAGAGATGATACTAGATAAATGGGGGTGATTAAAATCGTTTAGTCCTGTGTAATGCCTACTTTCAGGATTTTGACAGAATCAAACTCTTGAATCGGTATTACGCAGCCCAGGACTTAGGCCCAAGGGAAGATATTCCTCTGCTCAGATGTCTGCCATTCATTCAGTTAATGCTGAGGGTGGGGATGGGAGGACACACCCTTCTGTCACTTTCATCAAGGCTTTATAACTTTCTTTTCTAGTCTGCAGAAGCAATTGTCTATCGATTATTTTATGTAACCCTTAGAAATACACAGTGAAACAAGTATTATTGCCATTTGACAGATGAAGAAACTGAGGCTCAGAGTGGTAAAGTGACTTGTGCAAGCAAGGTCCCTAAAAATCAAATCTGCGTGTGTTTGGTGTCAAAGCTAGTGCTTTATCAGCCATGTAAGGATTCCCAGTGCTTCAGTCATTTCCCCACCATCAACACTTGTGCCACATGTACTGCTGCTTTATTTCTTGATTAAGACAGATTCTTAAATCAGCTTATTTTTTGTTTGTTTTTTACATCAGCATTTCGTAAAAAAAGTTTTTATAATGGTGATCTTCAAAGTGGGGAATGAAGACTTTACAAAAGGAACCAGGCAAGGATAGTTTTAAGGCAATTGATTTTCAGATCAGTTTCCACTGGTCCTCTTTCTGGCAGCTCTGCCTGAGCATGTGCTCCTTCCTTTCCCCCTCCCCCATCCTATTCTTACTGTGTGGCCTCACCCCGGAGGGTAAAAATCTCAGGTCCAAACAGACAGTTTGAAAGATCAGCTTAGGTGTTGACTGGGTAACAAGTCCTTTTGCAAAGCAGGAGTTCCTCAATTTTTGATTTTGTCAGATTGAAGAAAGGCCCTATTGATCAGTAAGATAATATACGAGGAAAGATCACTCTGTGGATTTGGGGATAGAACTCAAATGAATCCAAAGATTGATGTTGCTCTAATGTAACTCCCATTCTCAACCATTTACATCAACAAGGTTTTTCAGAGCTGACATCTATGAAAATGAAAAATAGAAATGGAGTTGAAGCTAAATCTATCTCATTCAACAGGTAAGTAATTTTCATCCATGAATGTATCAGTTAACTTAAAAAATTATCGGCTATATTCATCTTATTAAGATGTGTGTTTTCAGTGCAGCTTTTCTTTCTTTTTTTTTTAAACATTTTTTATTGAGTTATAATCATTTTACAATGTTGTGTCAAATTCCAGTGAAGAGCACAATTTTTCAGTTATACATGAACATGTATATGTTCATTTTCACGTTTTTTTCTCTGTGAGCTACCATAAGATCTTATATATATTTCCTTGTGCTATACATTATAATCTTGTTTATCTATTCTACAGTTTGAAATCCCAGTCTGTCCCTTCCCACCCCTCGCTCCCACAGCTTTTCTTTTTAAGTTTGAAATTCATCATGATTTTAAATACAGTAAGGTTTTTTGTTTAATGTATACTGATATAATGATATAATTATAAATTAATTGAGAAAAAAATTTAACACCTAGAACTTTATTATGGTCATGGGTAATGAAAATTGCCTGAGTCTATTCAGGCTGCTATATCAAAATACCTTAGACTAGAAGGCTTACAAACAGCAGGATTTTGTTTCCCACAGTTCTGGAGGCTGGGAAGTCCAAGATCAATGTGCTGGCAGATTTGGAGTCTGGGGAAGACCCACTTCTTGGTTCCTAGATGGCCATCTTCTTGTCGTGTCCTTAGCTGGTGGAAGGGGTGAGGTATCCCTCTGAAGTCTCTTTTATAAGAACATGAGGCTCCACTCTCATGACCTAATCACTTTCCAAAGGCTTCCCCCTGTAATACCATCACACTGGAAGTTTGGATTTCAACATATGAATTTTGAGGTGATAAAAATATTCAGTCTATAGCAAATATGAATTTGTATTCTTAAAAGCATATTTTTATTGCAGTAGGTAGATAAAAAGCTTCAGGCTTAAGAATATATTACGTGGGGTCAGGGTTTCTTAACCACAATACATTATGGGACAGTTAATTCTCTGTTATTGTTTGGGGGAGAGCTTTCCTGTGTTCTTCAGAATAATTAGGAGCCTTGCTGACCTCTATCAACCATATACCAGTAGCACACCCACCCCCCTCCCAAGTTATGACAACGCAAAATGTGTCTAGATATTGCCAAAAGTCCCTTGAGGGGCAAAAATCAGCTGCAGTTGAGAACCACAGCATTAGGTTATAATTTTGTGGGGGGAGCTAAATAGAAAATGGAAATTCAAGGAGAAAAGGAATCTTATGCAATTTCTGCTTGTTAAAGAAGAGCCTGTTCATTTTGAGTCAATAACGTATGTGTATTTAGTCGCTAAGGGATTTAGATTTTACTGCTCTGTAACCATGCAAATGGAAAACCAGTTTTCTCTGCTTTTATGGGGTTGAATTAAGTCCCCACATAAAGATATATTGAAATTCTAGTTCCCATCACCCCCATATATGACATTATTTGGAAATAGAGTCATTTTAGAGATAATCAAGTTAAAATGGAGTTATTAGAGCAGATCCTAATCCAATCTGACTGATGTCCTTATAAAAAGGGGGAATTTGGACACACACAGAGATGCACAGAAGGAAGACGATGCGAAGGTGGCCACATGATGACGAAGGCAGCTGCAAACCAGGGAACGTCAAGGATAGCTGGTCACCACAGGAAGCTAGGAAGAGGCAAGAAGGCTTCTACCCAGAGTCCCAGAGGGAGCATGGCCCTGCCAACACCTTGATTTTGGACTTCTAGTCCCCCAAACTATAAGGTAATTACATTTTTTTTAAGTCACCCAGCTCATGGTCCTTTGTTATGGCAGCCCTCGTAAACTAGCATACTTGCCATAAAAATAAAACTGTAAAAACAAGACAATGCTCTTAAATGTTATTAAATTTTAGCTAGATGCTTAGGAGCCTACAACAGGTCTGAGCCTCACCAACTCTTTATTAAAAGGAAGAATAGCCAGTGTTACACCCATGTTCATAGAAGAATTTTTTGCAATAGACAAAAGGCGAAAGCAACCCGTGTCCATTGGTAAAATAAAATGTGCTGTAAATATGCACAATGGAATATTACTCATATTTTAAAAGGAAGGAAATTCGGACACATGCTACAGCAGGGATGGACCCTGAGGTTAGTGAGGTTAGTGAAGCTGGTTGCAAAAAGACAAGAAAGTACTGTATATGATTCCAATTATATGAGGTACTTAGAGTAGTCAGATTCATAGAGACAGAGAGTAAAATGGTGGTTGCCAGGGGCTGGGGGAAAGGGAAAGTGTGGTGTTATTGTTTAATGTGTATGGAGTTTAACTTTTTCAGTATCAAAAGAGTTCTGTGGATGGTTGGTGGTGATGGAAACACAACAATGTGAATGTACTTAATGCCGCTGAACCATACACTTTTTTAAAAACAGTTAAAATGGTAAATTTTATGATGAGTGTTTTACTACAATTAAAAAGAAAAAAAAGAATAGTTAAGAGAGCTGTAAAAGGCACAATAACACAAAATCAAGGTGACCTAATCACACAAATTAGACATGAATTGAAATTTGAGTAACTTTCTATGTGAGTCAATATAATTCTTTGCTGGATAAATGTCTACACAGGCTCATCTCTCAGGGTGGGAGACTCTATTCCTTCATCATTTTAACTTCCCTTAAAAAGATTTCAGACATAAAGAGCCAGAGCCACGGCTTGAATGTGGGCCCTTTGACTCAGTCCAGCACACTTTCTTTATTACACAAAGGATGCTTATTTTGAAATAATAACACCCATTCCTTAGGTATTGGCCCAGGGGACAAACTGGGTGCCCAGTAGCCCTCCATTAGGTTGGTGGTTTGCAGGGAAGCATTCTGGGGCAAAAGACAGAGAAAAAAAGAAACTCTTGGATGGTTGAGTTTCCAGGGGGAGGTGAGGGAACTTTGAAGAAAAAAGTGAAGTGACGATGAGAGAGACAGTGAACAGAAAAAATAAATATGGTTTCCTTACAATGCAATTGAGGAGAAGTGAAGATCCACAGTGGAAAATTGCATAATGTGGGCCTCTTGGAAAACTGGTTATTTGATAATTGTCTATTTTATTCCTGTTTTGTTTGATCATTCTGGGGGACTGTGGCATGGGTATTTATTTAGTGACAGCTGGAGACAGAAGATTAGAGGCATTTGATCTAGAGTTAGAAGCAAGAGAGACTGGGGACAACTTGGCTAAGTGTGAATGGGAAGAGTAGAATATTAGAATATTTTCAGATCAAATATTATTTGCAACACTCTTTACGCCTGGATTGGAAGACACATTTTAAATGTGGGTTTAAAATTAGTTTGGAAATTGTCTTTAAGCAGGGACTGCATAAGTTATTTGAAAAATTGGGCCTCATTAAAAATACATTAAGGAACAATCAGATACTGTGTGTCGGCTAATGTGATGCAATATGAGGCTCGGAGCGCCACGTAGGAAGTTTCTAGCCAATAATGCAAACTTGACTCTAAGTAGGCCTCCAGAGGTGCACTCCTATTTACAGGAAATGGGGGAGGAGGGAGAAAAGAAAAAGTCAAATGATTACATTTGTGCTGAGATTTGCTTTAAAATACTTCAGTAAGGGAAGAAAAAAAAAAAGTAAAAGGAATGTGCATTAGTTTCCTGTGGCTGCCATAACAAATTACCACAAACTTGATGGCTTAAAATAACAGAGATGTAGTCTTCTTCAGTTTCGGAGGCTGAAAATCCAAAACCAAGGTGTTGGGAAAAGCTGTACTCCCTCCAGAGGCTCCACAGGAGAAGGCATCCCTTTCCCCTTCCAGCTTCCATCGACTCCAGGTTTTCCTGGGCTTGTGGCTGTTGCACTCCAATCTCTGCCCCTTGGTTATATTGCCTCCCCACTTCTGTGTCAAAACTGCCTTTATCTTTGTCCTATAAGGATACATGCAATTGCATTTAGAATCCACCTGGGTAATTCAGGATAAGCACCTCCTCTCAATATTCTTAATCACATCTTTTGCCGTACACGGTAATATTCACTCTTTCACCAGATAAGGTAGTATCAGCCACAGGTTCCAGGGATTAGAATGTGGGCATATCTTCTGGAGGGCCACCATTCAGCCCACTATAGAATGGAAGGCAAAATCTTGATAATTATCAAATTTTATTTACTTATGTATCAAACTTTATTGAGGAATAACTGGCAAATAAAATTATATATATTCAACATTTAGAACATGATGATTTGATATACCTTTATATTGTGGAATATTTTCCAAGAGCAAGATAATTAACATATCTATCACCTTACATAGTTAACTCTTTTTTTTATTTTGGTGATGAGAATGCTTAAGTTCTACTCTCACCAATTTTCAATTTTCAAGTATTATTAACTATAGCCACCATGCTGCACAGTAGAGTCTCAGAACTTATTCATCTTGACAATTGAGACATTTGAGTTATGGGCCTATACTAAGGTTTTAGTTTTGGGTAAGTCAGTACATTTTCAAAATTTAGAAAAAAAAAATTGGACTTCTACCAATGGCAATGATGGAGTAACTGAGACCAGATTATGCAACAATTGTTTCCAAACATTGGACAAAATGTTGCAGAACTGTGATCCCTGACAGAAGGAAAATGAATGAGATGAGCCCTATGGTTACCCTAGATTTTTGCATGGAGGTAATTTCTAGACCATTGTACACGGAGGGAAAACTCAAATAAGACACTGCAGTGTCACTGAATTGAGAAGACTGAGATGGGAGGTTGGTAAAGCTGAAGTGGTTGGAACTTACAGGGCAGAGTGTTGCAGAGGAAGGAGCTGAATGGAGATATAGCTCCAGAAAATTGCATAGAGGTCCCAGGGAGTATTTTGCTCAATACCAAATTGTACACGTGTAGGGCAAAATTATATGAAACTAGGCAAAGAACCATTGGGGAGCTGAAAGATGAACATCCCAGAGCCTTTCTGGAATTCCAATTAGCCAGAGTATAAAATCCTCCTTGGACACCCAGGCCTTCTGCAGAGACCATAGAGGAGTCACGCCTTAGAAGTGGGGGCTGAACTAGCTCTGAGTAAAGGCTCCTTTAAGCCTGCCCTTTAAAAAACTGAAACATTAACCTCGGCCAGATTAAGCTTATCTTCAATTTGCTTAACTGGCTGTCAGAACAGTCTGACACTCTTCTAAGAATGTCAAGAAAATTTAGTAATCAAGAATATAAAATTCATAATGTCTAGCATCCGGTCAAATATTACTAGACATGTGAAAAAGCAGGACAACATGAGCCTTAGAGAGGAAAAAAAATAAATAAGTAGAAACAAACCCAGAAGTGACAGACAATGGAATTAGCAGGCAAGCACTTTAAAGAAGCTATTACAAATATGTATAAGGACTTGAGAGAACATTAATATAATGAAGAGAGAAATAGAAAATATAGAGAGTTTTTGTTGTTGTTGTTTTTGTTGTTTTAAATAAGGACATCTACAAAAAACCTCACAGCTAACAATATACTTAATGCTGAAAGACTGACTCCTTCCCCCTGAGATCAGAAACAAGACAAAGCTATCCTCTTCTAGTCAACATTTTACTAGATGTACTGGTCAATGCAATAAATAAAATAATATTAATTCATTAATTAAAGGCAGTCAGATTGTAAAGGAAGAAGGAAAACTGTCTACATATTTGCAGAGGACATAGTCCGATATATAGAAAATCCTGAGAAACCCAGCCCCCTCAAACACACACACATGTGCGCACACACACACGCACACACACACACAACTGCTACAACTAATAAGTGAGCTCAGCAATATTACAGGGTAGAAAATCATTAAACAAAAAGTAATTGTATTTTATAGTAGAGGGCAATCTGAAAATAATCTTTAAAAAATTCCATTCACAAAAGCCTCAGGAAGAATAAAATAATTAGGAATAAACTTATCAAGAGAAGCACAAGAACTAAACACTGAGAATTACAAAATGTTGATAAGAAAAAGATTTAAATAAATGGAGAGGAATTCCATGTTTATGGATTAGAAGATTCAATAATATTAAGATGGCATTTCTCCCCATACTTATCTGTAGGTTTGGTATCCATATCAAAATCTCATCAGAATCTTTTTTTGGTAGTAATTGACCAACTGATTCTGAATTTTAAATGGAAATGCGAAGAACTCTGAATAGCCAAATCAACTTTGAAAAAAAACAAACAAACAAATTTGAGGATTAAAACTATCCTATTTTAAAACTTGTTATAAAGCTACAAAAATATAAAGCTATAGAAATCAAGAGAGTATTTAGTATTTGAACAAAGATAGACATATAGGACAATGGAACAGAACTCATAGAATTTTGGGTTACATTTACATTTTAAGGGTTTTACATCTATAGTCAACCAATTTTTGACCAATACACCAAGATTCAATAGGGAAAGGATAATATTTTCAATTGTAATCTATATGCAAAATGGGTGAATTCATACTCTTACTTCATACTATATACAAAATGGATCACAGACCTAAATGTAAAAGTTAAAATATATAAAATTTCTAGGAGAGAACAAAAAAGAAAATCTTCACAACATTGAGATAGGCAAAGATTTCTTCTTAGATTAAACTGAAAGAACATGAACCATAAAAGAAAATTTTGATAAATTGTACTTTATCAAATTAAAATGTTCTGCCCAAAATGAAAAGACAAGTCATAGGCTGAGAGAAAATATTTGCAATACTTACATCTAATAAAAGATGGTATATAGAATATACAAAGACATCTCAATTTAAATAATAAGAAATCAAACAAGCTGATAAAATTGGGCAAAGAATTTGCAGATACTTCACAAATGAAGATATATTAATGGTCAATAAAACATGAAAAAATGCTCAGCATCATTAGTTGTAAGGGAAATGCAAATTAAAATCACAATGAGATACCAGGACATACTTCTTTGAAGTCCAAAATTAAAGAGTGACAACACTGAGTCCTGGCAAGGAGGTGGGGCAACTGGAACTCTCAGTGGATAAGTAAAACATACGAACACTTTGAAAAACATTTTGGCAGTTTTAAAAATCGAGTGAACTCTACATTTATCATATGAATCATTCCTAGGTATTTATCCAAGAGAAGTGAAAACAGTATATCCATACAAAGACTTGTACACAAATGTTCATGCAGCTTTATTCATAACAGCTTCAAATAGGAAGCAGCCCAATTATTCATAAACACCGAATGGATACAGTGTGGTGCACCTCTATAGTGGAACACCACTCGGCAATACAAAGATGTGAATTACTGATAGAGCAGCATGTATGAATCTCCAAAAACATTGACTGAGCAAAAGAAGCCAGGTTCAAAAGATTAATTCTGCGTGATTCCATTTATGTGAAATTCAAGATAAGGGAAATCTGAAATGTCAAAAAAGCCCAAAACAAAACAAAACAAAACACCCAAAGTTCCAAAAAACATAAAACAGCCTGGGGCAGGAGATGGGTAGGACTCAACTGTAAAGGAGCAAGAGGGAATTTTTATGGTGTTAGAACTGGTCTTCACCTCGACTGTGGTTATGGTTACCTGACTGTGTGCCCTTGTCAAAACTCATCAAACTGTTCATTTGAAATGGTGTATTTTATTGCATGAATTGTATCTCAGTATAGTTGATTAAAAGGCATTAAAGTCAGAAGCTATATTAAACGTTTCTCTGCTTTGAGTAGTCTCTTGGGAACACCTAGATTCTAGCCATTTTTGTTTTTTCATCCACTCAGCTTCTCTGGAAGCAAGTAGCTGTGTAGCTAAGTGGGATAAAGGGTAAGGGGTTCAAATAAAAGAAATACAGCCTTTTGATATCTTATCCTTAGAATATGAATATGTTTGGAGCTTAAAGGGAATCTGGGTTTTGAAGCTAGGTAACTGAATGTCTGTTCTAATCACACATCAAATATCTATAGTTAATGATACTGTATTGCATATTTGAAAGTTACTAAGAGAGATCTTAGCAGTTTTCATCACAAGAATAAAAATTGTGTAGCTATGTATGGTGATGGGTGTTAACTAGACTTATTATGGTGGTCGTTTTTTTTTGTAGGGGGAGGTAATTAGGTTTATTCATTAATTTATTTTTAGAGGAGGTACTGGGGATTGAACCCAGGACCCTGTGTATGTGAAGCATGTGGTCTACCACTGAGCTATACCCTCCACCTATGATAGCCATTTTGCAATATATACAAATATTGAATCACTGAAATGTAATGTCATATATCAGTTACAGTTCAATTAAAAATAAATTAATAAAAATAATAAGTAAAAAGGTATTTTATGAAGTTTGACTCCCACCATGAATAAATGAAGGTGATCATTTGCCATATCTCTGCTAGGGTTGAAGATTACTACCTATAAAATTCTTTGCTAATTTCATAGGTTAAAATTTATCTTATTGTTTAATTCTGCATGATTATGTATAGCATAAATATGTACAAACCAAACAAGAAGAAATCAGAGCAAATGGCAATCTTCTTCCATTACCAGCCTGTAATAAATTGCAAGCAAGTATTTCAACAGACTTTTTAGAAGGTGACATAGGGAAAATTTCTCAGATGTAATGTGGAGTGGCACAAATGTACACTCACTTAGTTGTAAGACAAAAACAAAAACAAAAACCAAAAACTCTGCTTTGGCCCTTTTTAAGCCTTAATTCCCTACTTTTCTTTTAATAGTGAAATGACTTTACGCCCATGGCTCAGATACCCTCTTTTCTTACCCACGTGATGTGAAGGCAAAGGACTCAAGGAATGTTGGTCAATGCCATTCTTATTCTGAAGAAATTCTCATGCAAATGGACAGAGATACATGGAGAATTAATTTTGGCTATAGGAAAAACTCGAGTGCTATCTAATTGTCCATTAATAGGAGAATGCCATGGTATGGCTTATTATACAATACTGTGCAATTATTTAAAAGAATAAAGATGATCTCTGCTGTTATGGAAGGATGTCCATGATTACCGTAGAGTTGTAGAAAGAAAGTTGAAGAAGAGCATGCTTAGTATGATCCCATTTATGATTAAGAAAACCCCACCTCTTCAGCAAATGGTGT